TATTGCCAGTTAATAATGTAACGTGAAATATTTTTGTATGTGTTTGTTTACAGCAGACTTGCATTTCCCTTTAATGATGTGCAAAGCTTCTGCCGGCACTTCAGTATGACTCTGAAGCTGGCTGAGGACCAGAGATTTGCCCATGAATATGGTGAGACCACTGTGTCTGATGAACACTGGGCTGCAAGTCAAACAGCGCCTGAGAAAACACTGGATAGTGTCATTGGTGAAGAGCTTATGGATTGCCGAGATATAGAGTCCACTAACAAATTACCACCAGTCTTTCCAAATAGAGACATCATGAGATGCAGCTATTGGAATTTTGATGAGACTCCAGCTACAGAGAGTCACTATGACACATTTGGCCCAAAACAGGGTCCAGCGACCTTCTTCAGTGATGAAAAAGCATCTGTCTCCAGCCATCAAGACTTAAACCTCAAAAAGTAATTCACTCTCTGCTTTTATCTGAGTCACTCGTGTGTATGTTTGTATATTCACTCTAATAAAACCTTTGTATTCGATGAAAGATCAGCTGATAAAAATGCATGCGATGAAAACCTCCAAATTCATTCGTGGTATACAACTGGATGCTGCCGACTTAAAGCAAACACTCTGTTTTTATGTAATTCTTTTAACAGAGCTCAGCCTTTTATTAGTTTCTGCTGCAAAGCATTTGTCATCATTGGAGCCTCCTCTACTTGATTTACACCAGAAGACGTTGAAGATTTTATTCATTTTAACACGCAGCTTTATCATTAACACTGTGCTATCTTCGGGAGGACAATACATCTTTGATTTGAAGGGTGGCTTTAGACAGGCTTAAACTCTCCAGAGTACTGCTCTCCAGATGTCTGCTCACATATAAATTCATGTTTTGAAAGATGAAGGTGCTATGATATCATGTGCAATATATCCCTCACTTTGTGTGTATTTAAAAGCCTGTGTGTGTGTGTGTTCTTTTTTGAGCAGCACAGCAGCAGTTGTGATTCAGCAATGTTGGAGGAAATACAAGCAGATATGTGGGAACATTAATGCTCCCCCCATCACAGAGAAAGGAGGAGAAAGAGGAGGAGATGGAGGAAAGCCAGAGTCAAGACTTTGCTATATTAATAGGAGCACTGCTGGCAAACACTATGCGGCAACTGTCATCCAGGTAAAACATTTGTAGCTTGTAGCATTTGTAGCGTCCTAGAACAATTTCCCTCTGAAGATGTCTGGGTAACAACTTAGAACGGTTATCTAGGCGAGTTCATATGAATTCAGTCAGTCAAACTGTTTACTTGTAATAGACCTCATAGCACCATATCACCCCAACAGAGCACTTTGCTCTGAGACTGCTGGCTTGCTTACCTAGGATGTTTTAAAGTAAAACAGGAGGCAGAGCCTTCAGCGTCCAGGCCCGCCTTCTGTGGAACCAGCTACCATTTGGAAGTAGGAGATAGACACCCTCGCTACTTTGAAAATTAGGCTTAAATCTTTCTTTTTTTAATTGGAAATGTTGTAGTACTAAATCCTCCATTTTTATGCTGCAATAGGCCTAGGCTGCTGGGGGATTCCCAAGGTGCACTTTCTTTTTCATTCACCTTTTTTCACTCACTATGTGTTTACACACCTCTCTGCATTTAATCATTAGTTATTGTTAAACTCTGTCTCTCTCTGCGTCCTTTGTCCTGTGTTCCTCCCCACACCCACAACTTGTGACAGCAGATGGCTGCCCCTCCATGCGCTTGGTTCTGCTGGAGGTTTCTTCCTGTTAAAGTTTTTTTTTCCACTGTCGCCAAATGCTTGCTCATAGGCGGTTGTCTTATTGTTCGCAATTTTCTCTTTATTATTTTAGGATTTTTAGCTTACAGTATTAAGCACCTTGAGGGTATTGTTGTTGAGATTTATATACATCTATCCATTGGGCCACTGTGGCTATGACGTCTATTTTCATTTCGCAGTCGCAGAATTCAAAGGCAGAGGATTTTTGGTAGCAAAAGCTTTTAGGTTCCTTCTTGTGGCCTGAGATTTATGTGTGTAGCCCAGATGCATTGCTTGATGCTTTGCATTTGCTTTGAACGTAGCCTGGCTACACTAAAATCCCTGAAAGATCGGCTGTTGCTCCTAGAGGATAGCAGAAACTGCTGAATATCACAGATAGCAAATAGTTGATTTGTTCTATTTTGGCTTCATTAATTAGTGAGTTTATAAAAATTTGATAAAAAAGAGTAGGAAAAAACCCCATCAGAGTTTGTCATAGCTTAAGATTATGCGTTGAGAAGAAACTGCTCACATTAAACTTTTATTGTGTAATTAAGGATCTTACTTCTGCATGTAGAAAGTGTGCCTGAAGTCACTTCCTCTTTGTGGATATCTGAAAATGCCAATTTTCATCCTTAAAAACTGAACTTCAGGCCTCATACGTTCTTGAGGCTTATTCGGCTAATCCTCTGCACAGAGGTGTAAGCTGCTCTTCTGAAAAACATGCTACTCATCACCCCTCTCAAATCCCTTTTCAACACACAAAGTGTTTGATGACTCCTTGAGGGCTAGGTAGAGGCTGGGAGTTGCCGTGTACCGTGCACTACAGCACTGTGTAAGTGTAAGTGTGTGTTTTGTGCATGTCAGGGGGGTATAGAGTGATTAATCAGATTCCAAAGACGTGCGGTAGTAAGAGTTCTAAAATTCCTGTGCGGCTCAACTTGAAGTGAAGTGTGCCCCCCCCCCCCCCGCCCATTGGGAATTGCAGGATTTAGAGGTGCACTGGAGCTCTATTTGTCTCAGAGCAGCCTGGAGTCACACAGAGTTCAGACAGCAGAACACTCAGCAATTAAAAGAGGGGTTAACATGTTTTATCTTCCTAATGGGATAACATGCAATATTTACGTTTGCTCCATGATTCATTGAGCAACTACCATTTCTTTTTCTGGGTACCTCCAGGCATTCTGGAGGGGCTACTCTCTGAGGAGGAGGCTCACATCTGCTCTTGCTGCTGTGACATGCCCCAGTGTTGGAGAGGATGACACCTTTGAGGAGGTGGACATAGATGAATTTGTCTTTGATGAGGTATCTGCACAAGCCTGTATGTTCTTCACTTTCACGATTCGGCAGTTGTTCCCCATCTCGCACCCCATCAGACCAAAAAACCTGCACAGAGGCTAACACATAAATGTAACACATAAATATAGTACTGTATACTTCACTCCAAAGACACTTTATTTGTGGTTTGTTTGTCATTGCCGTCCAGAAATTCAAGTATTTTTCATTTTCATAAAGGCAGCTTTGGAGGAACACTGCACACTGATGCTTTCTCAGGACTCGTCTCCCAGACACCAACTTGTGTCAGAGCAGCAATTATCTACGAAGGTAAAGTTTGATATTCTTAAAACCTGGTAGTCCTGACATGATATTCTCTAATACTTTGAAACCTGCTATGCAAATTGTGAATTTTGGGATTTACCATCTTGTGTTATGTCAGTGTTGGAGTTATTTTCTTGCTTGTCTACCTCCCCTCCAGGAATTGTCTCACCCTCCCTTATTGATCTCTAAATTTATTCACTTGGAAAAACAGGATTATTTCCTGGAGGGCTGAAAGTTGTACAGCACCAGCAGATGTCATTTTTCATGCTGGCTGGACTGTCGTCCTGTTTTTTTTCTTCATTTACCTCTTGTTGGATCTTTTCTTTGGAGCGTGCTCAGCGCTGTACATCATGGTAGCCAGTTTAAGCAAGCTGATGTGGTGCAGCTGCTAGCGTGGTCAGCCTCAATATGTTGACACTGAGGCACAGATCAAAGGCAGGGGATGAACAATTTAGCACTTTGACCAAGAGAAAATAGAATCTGGAGAGTAATTAAGCTGTTACTTTGACTTAAATATGAGAATTCCATGATTGTGAACCGTTCACTCGGTCAGCCACATACCTACAACAAAAATAGGCCCCTGAGTTAAGTGTCACTGGATATAATAGTGTAGAATGTAATCACTTCTCCCAAGAGTTACAGATAACTGTAGTGTTATTCCATGAAAAATTAATTAGTATGCCACAACAGACTGCTCAGATTTTTGTAACTATAATGAAAGCATGCACAATTTTACCTTTGTTACAGGTCCTTTAAGTACACAGATGTCAGTTGAAGTTTTCCACTAGTAATCTATGTCTATTTTTTTCCTAGGATTTTTGAGTGTGCTCAAGTTCATAAATACAGGAGAAAGCTACATTAGTTTTTCCAGCCTGAAAAACACATTCAATTTTTTTAAAAAACTGCAACCAAATCAATTTTGCATAAACTCCAAGTGTCACAGTCTAAAGCTAAAATCCTGCCTTTGTTCAGCGTGGTTTTATCTCCAACCAGCTTTGAGTTTGAGGAACAGTATAATAATGAAACATTTAGAAACTGAAAAAGCAAAGCCGCTCCGATTTAATGTCTGTGATGCAGAATAACAGAAATAAAAACACACACTGGTATCCCAGATGTTTTATGTGTATTCTGGTAATTCATTAGGAAAACTACAACAAGTGTGTTTTGGTAACATTTCAAGGTAACAAAAAAAAAAGAAAAGTAACTTAGGCCTGTCATTAATTGATATATGTATTTCAGCCTCCTGGGCCCTGTCTTGATCCCTCCCAGGACATACTCCCCCTACCAAAGCACGCCTGGATGGCTGGGGAACATGTGGACGGTTCTAACAGGTACAACAACCCACAGCCACAGCATTTGAAAAAGCTGTTTATTTTAAGCTTTATATAGATTTTCATAATTATTGTACAAAGTTATATAGGGAAAAAGAAGATAAATAATTTTCATAATAGGACATATAGCAAACAGTGTTGATTTGTGACATTAATATTTTTCATTAATGCAACTCCAAGTAGAAAAATACAATCTTTGCTAAGCACATTAAAGAGTCGGATGTATCTTAGAAGTTAGAGATTTTAACTGGGTTTACTTTTTCACATATGAAGCTCATGATATGGCGTTTGCTCTTGGAACAAAATACAGACAACCTGAAGTATGTGTTTAAGTGTTTCATGGATAGCAAAATATAAATCTGATATTAAAAATGCAAGGAACAATAATCAAACTGGTCCTAATAATGCAAGAGTTTAATGTCATAAGATTTTAGTATAGCATAGAAAAAATGATGATACAGATGTTGAAATTTCACTTTCTGGATATAAAGGAGGATGGCACACACACTAAATCACGTTTATATTTTTGTTATGGTTGTGATCCACAAAATGTATCCACATATTCAGCTAGCAAAACACTCAAATAAGCAGGTTCACTGAATGACTGTTCAGTTCTCCTCTCTGATGTTCAGCTGATGTCACTGGTAATCTATAAAGTGGTAATATTTGTTTTCGTTTACTTTTTTACTTGGTGGCATACAAATCATAAAATTCAATGGCTTCCATTGAGGAAAAAAATGAAATGGAAAGGAAAACAAGGCAGCACTGCTCCACTTCCAGCATGCTTGTTATGTTGGTTACAGTTATGTGGATGACAGGTGCATCTTTTGCTACAGACCAGACAACAGTTTTCAGTTTAAGAGTTTGATCAAGCTTCAGTTCAAGAGCTGGAGCAGGAGTGTGCTTTTCCATTTTTAAATGAACTTTTAGAGGACTGAGACTTTTAAACAATCAAATGTTTAATGCATGTTTTTACTGTAAGATCCCAAGGCATCTGAGAGAACAGTTGCTACTAAAGACCACAGCTGTGGAGCATGCCACCATCAGAGTGCACTGAAAATGTGTTTTTGGCCCCAATGAAGATTGTGTTTGGACACACAAACACATTCTTCAATCACCACTAGCCCTACTCGCCCAGTTTAGCTCCCTTTTTCCTTAAATGAAATGGGTTTCCATTTTGCACATCTCTATTGCACGTCCACTGAGCATAATAATATTAGCAGCCATGCAGGAAAAAATACAGGACAACCTTGACTTAAAGATCAGCCATAATTCAATCCCGAAAGATTTAAATATGTGTAGTCCTGTTGTGAATTTCTGCATCTCAAGTTATGTTTTTAAGGACAATAATTTCTTTATGATTCCAGAAACACATCTCCTACTTCCACCTCAGCGCTTAGTGGTCTCTCTGAAAGATCAGAAAAGATTCTAGAAGAATGGTAAATCATCATCTCCTCCTCACTGCTTGCTGCAACTGTGCGTTGTTAGTAAATGGCAGAACGGCACTTTCTATCTGTCTTTTCTTTCCTTGCCATCTGCAGGGGCTTTACTGACAGCCACACAGCACTTCTGCTGCTGAGGAGAGCTCGGAAGATGAAGTCAAAGAGACAACTGCAAAAGAAGCAAAGGGGTTAGTGTGTTTAAAGTGGGATAGGTGGAAATTTGAGATTTGGACCCTTTGTGCTTGCATGTGTGCTTTTTATGCAGTAGTTCAGGTTTAAAAAAACTATTTTTGTATGTTTTTAGAAAATTCCCCATAGAATTTGAATGCTGTGATTGGAGATTAAACACTGTTGTGGTTTCCTTCTTCAGTCGCCTCATATGCAATGCTTCCTTCATTCATTAATCCTTCTACACCTCAACTGATGTTTCTGTCTTTATATAGTTCACAAAATGGAGATAACTCCTGTTAAGACATAAATCTGTTGTCTAAAAAGGAGAAAGATCTCTCTTCATTCTCATTCTTCAGCCGTGCTTTAGTAGCAGTGAACCTTTCCGCCGCATGTATGTTAATGAGCCATAACAGACAGCAGAAGCCAGGGCTGTCACCTCTCATTGGACTTATTTACGAGCCTGCAAAGGAAATAACTATTGCCAAGAAAGCTCATGACAAGTCGTCTTGTGGCAACTTTCATTCCATTTCATTGTAGTGGTTTAGTGTAACTGCAGTGAAAGGTGACCTCACCTCTGCTCTGTTCCAAGAAACAGTAGTTCTGCCATGGGTATCATGTCATGGTCATGTAATGGGAGGTTGGTCTTTGATCAGACTTTCAAATGCATGATTGCATTAGTGGTGCTCTTGTCATCTTGCTCCACCGACACACAGGTCTTTGTCGGCTTTAACTCCTAATGGCATCTGCCTCAGCTGAACCACAGCGCTGTGTTACATATGCACTAATATTTTCTGAATGTTTGATCCTGGTTTTCTGCTTCTGGTTTAAAGCCTGGCGTGTCCTGCTTTGACCTTCTCTTTCTTGCTGTGTTAGATCCCTCCGTCCGACTTGCCTTGTTCAGAAATTGTAATTACCAGCTTGGTCCAGCGGAGGCACAAAACACAACAGCACGATACAACAGAAATTATGCAAAAGGTAAGAAAAGAGATCTATGCATATTTTCTAACCCAGTAGTATTTCAAATGCTTGGATTATTTTTAAGAATTTTAAATTTAAACTATTTAAGTCTGGTCTGGTCTTAGACTGGACTATTGCAAAGCAGAAGGGGTAGATGGCCTCACATTTGTCTCTAAAATACTGTGATATATAGAGACACTCATGATCAACTCAGTGATTGCAATTTTCAAAGGTCCTGCAACTACAAAACAAGCCCAAATCACCACCCGTCCACCGCCGTGCTTAACAGTTGGTGAGAGGTTTTTGTGCTGATATGTTGTGTTTGGTTTTTGCCTGTTGGGCCACTGCGCTTTATGACCCAACATCTCCGCTTTGGTCTCATCAGTCTAAAGGTGAAAGATGTCTTCTGGATGGCTCAAATGTCCACATTCTTTTAAAAGAGACGAAGCTTTCTTCTGGCAACCCCTCAAAGCCATATTTTTCCAACCTTTTTCTAATTGTACTGTCATGACGGTCAGGGTGTACTTTTCACAGGACTGTATGGCACAACTTTTTTCCAAAGAGTTTTCAGTGTTATGGAAGTACAGTGTCAAAAAAAGGCTATGGATTGATTATATGTGGGATAGTGTGATTGGTTGAGAAAAGTCAAAAGCCTCCCTCCACCTTCATCCATATTCTGCTGTGGCATGGTGCCCTGCCCTGAGGTGCAGAGAGGATTTGGCATTGTGACACACACAGACAGACTTAAAAGGAAGGGAAGCGCTGGAGGGAGAGCATAAGGGAGAGTTGGGGGGGAGTCTGTTTTTATCATGAGGGACTGTCTCCGTCTTTCTTTTGGACCCCACCACCACGTACCAGGGTCAAGGCCTCACATCCATGGAGTAATAGTCTCACGGTCATCCAGCAGTCAGAGGGATGCTGGAACAGCAGCATTTGCCAGCAGAAAGTGAAGCGATCAGTTATAAGACTAACATACTAAAGAATTAGCTGTGAAGACGAAGAGCAGATTTGCCTGTCATTTTATGTTGCAGTCTTAAAAAATAGAACAACCATGATCTTTTTAGCGTAAAAATGTGGCGATTTATATGTGAATGAGCTCTCTTATTTTCATTAATTCTGAAGTTCTTCTGTCAGCAGACACTGTTTTGCCAGCATTACAAGGCATTTTCATCAGGACAGTGACGGACTAACAAATGTTCCCTTTCGGAGTAGGTAGCACAACATTCTTTTCCAATAATTATTTTCCATTGACAATTTATAAAATGCATGAAAAATGGAGCTTGACTATGACAGCATCATCCATCCATTTTCTTCCTCTTATCCAGCTCAGGGTCATGGGGGGAGCTGGAGCTTTCTCAGCTGCGTGTCAGCATCATTATGTTATCTATTGTTTATTTGAATTGCAGGTGTATTATGTCAACTTTCCAACATTGTGATTGCTGACACTGGAATTATGTGTGAGCATAATACTGCTGTGGATAAACTGTCAGCTAACTGGCAATCGAGGAATAGCTGTATCCCGATAACATATTAAATTACAGCAATATTTCCAGCTCTGTTTTTTCCCATAGCTTCATCGCTCCTCCCCACCCTCTTATTGACAGTTTATCAAACGGGACTGATGCTTTTGAGCTAATACAGCTGATAAAGTAATGGAAGGATCTCTGGTTAGGGCATTCTCTTTCTTTCCGGTTTATATTCTGTATCCTCAGTCAGTTTTCTGATCTGACAGAAATGTGTAACTCTATCCAGCTTCAGTCTAGGGGAAACGATTCCTACTGTCTTTTTACAGCATTGCTATAAGGCTGGCGAGTGAGGTGCTGTGTCAGTTATTAACTTGTGGTGCTGTGAAGCTGGGTCTCTGTAAAAGGGTCCAGGTTTGCCTACATCCTCGCCCCCCTGGTCCTGACCTGTGTAAGACACCCCCTCCTCCGGATTCATCACCAGTGCCCGGGGCCTGGCTAGCCCAGCCCCAGACTGGCCCAGCCAGCGCTCCCCGACAGGGGCTAACGTTTCAGGCCTCGAGTCAAGCTCCTTCTGGAGGTGATTAGCCTCAAACCCATGACAGATTCTTTCCAAGATATCTGACGCTGCGTGTTTATTTTATCCGGGCTCTTTGTGTGGATGTGCTGGACATGAGTAACCCACTTGAAATGGGTATCAGTTTACATACCCAGACACGGAGACATAGAGGGAGAGAATAGTGCAGAGCCACAACAAATTTTCTTCTAAAAGTTTAAAAGAGAATATAAATATACCTTTTCCTTATTATTTGCATCTTTTGCATGTGTCTGGGGTGCTGCAGATGTTGACAGTGTGGTGTGCCTCTAAGGAATTCTCCTAATTTCTACTCTTAATTACCACTCAACCCCTCCAGATGCACGCACGCAC